GATCTGGGTATGATTGAAAGTGTGAACGTTGGAATTTGAGCATTTAATAAAACCCATCGAATAATGCTAGCCACTTGTGTACTCTTCTGAAAGGTCAATGCGTCGGCCTTCAAAAATGTCCCAACCGATCATTGACTGTTCATGCACCTTGCACTCGCAATGAAAGTTAACATTGTGATTTTGCTGGCATTGTTGTCCAACATTGTAGTGGGTACATAAGCTTGGACTCTTCTGCAATCAAGGACAATGTGACGGGACCAGTCTAGCATTGTCTAAACATTTATTATGCGCTTGACAGAGATGGACGTGGTGTATACTAAAAATGTTGTGTAATTAAATTTTTATCTCGATAACACTGCACTTCTCCCTATGCTGCGATAATTTTTTAACCCTCGGGAAATAAACCTCTCTCGATTGAGACCCATTATGTTTATATTATTAAGGGTTCCCTAAAGAAACAGTAGCAGGAAGTTTGTACTGTATTTGTTTTAATCAAGTTGCATTTCGCGGGACGAAAGTATTGACATAAGAAGGTAGCTTTCCTTTGGGCGCCAGCTACCTTTCTTACGTACAGGCACGCAACCGCCGTAATTGCTATTAGTTCGCGTAGTCCTTGAGTGAGAACAAATCATGCCTCTCTGATGGCATTCTAAGTCTGCTGCCGAATTTATACGCTGACGGGCACCCGTACGAGCAGTTGCTTCCTTTCAGAAGCCCATGTTCTAAGGTTGAGACAGCTAATCATTAGAGAAATAAAAATCCCTAAGCATTATTATACATGTATTCATTAATAAGAAATACTGTCTTACATATTCGAAAGTCGTTCGCCAAAACTGTCGCTATAAGTTATTATATATACCTGATTCCCAGATCACCAAACTTTTCTCTGGAAGAATGTAATATTTTCTGCAGAAGTTTGATTTTCAAGATTCTGAAATTTGGCATATTAAACTTTTACCTGCTCATTTCAAACTTGCACCCTTACTTGCTCATTTCTCAGAATGGCGACTGAATGGTATCTGTCATACATACAGCACGAATGTAGTCTATTCGTGTTCTAAGGTGCTTATTATTGTAGTCCTCTTAACTTTGCTCTCTAAAAGCCAACATCTCTTCTTTGTCGCAGCAGTGCAGTGATCAAAGTGACAAATTTCTAAGCATGGTGAGGCTTGTTCCCCTTTAGCCTCTGTGGCAACTGTAAAACCTGTCTAAAACCCAGAAATGATCGACTAGCGAATATATAATGGATTATTATACAATTCTAACTGGTGGTCATAACCCCCCCCCCGGCCCCCACCCTCCAGTGGCTAGAAATCAACTGCAAATGTCCAGCCGGTAGGAAAATGAGCGATCCGCCGTGAAAGCCAACGCGGTCTCTGATTCACAAGCTGGTGGCTGCTCACCCTGCAGCAACATGGCTGCTCTATCGTCCCCGTTGTTCCAAAGGGACTGAGTTTAAACTGACAGCAAACCGGAAGAAATATGTACACAAACTCTTCACAAAGGTTTCGGACTATGGCTCATCAACAGGGTAGCCCGATAATATTCTGCTGGTTGACTCCATTTAGATCTGAAATTTATGAATTTTCAGTAAATATGTCCTTCGATTTAACGCAAGATAACAAACACAAGCCATATTATTTAAAGCAATATGCAAATTTGGAAGCTACTGTTCATACTTTAATTTGACTCACAATTTTCCAGTCCGTACAGCAGATAGGAAATGAACATTTTTAACGAATTAAATAGGCTGCATTTCAGAACAACCAACAAATTTAAAAAAGTCTTATTCTTCAGCGAATGACTTGCGTCACAGTACTTATGGTTGCATGGAACGTGATCATGCGATGGCAGCGAGAAAACGATGGTGAATTTCGCATTTTGTTCGAAGGATGAATATCAGCTACTAATTATTGTTTTCGCAGAGGGATTGACTATCTAAAAAATAGATAAGCCACAAGCAGCTAACAATAGCGGATGTGAGTACCAATTTGGCAGCTGCAGAACTGGTCTTTTGAATGCTTTATTGGAAGACAATTTTGAGGACAGTGACATGCATAATCGCTGGTATTTTTGGAGCACATGCCGGGCCAACAAGGAGGTATTTTGAGGATGCAGGAGGTTTGAGCTGAAAATAAGTAAGAAAAGAATGAATTGCTATAATTTCTCGAAACAGATTTTACAAGTCCAAACAGCCTGCTAACCATGGAAACACTTTAAGTATTAGGTAGGCCAGTTAACCAGTGAGATTTGTGAATGACGCTGATATTCTAATTTAATATTTATTCGTGAGTTAGTCAGAGCATCTCCATTGAATGTCAAAGTATACGTCTAAGGCATGAAAGTAAAGCATGTTCAAGTACAGAACACTCTTATGGCTTGATAGGGCGAACTTGACTGGCCACCCTGCCAGCTATACCTATGTAATTCAGTAATATGGAGATGGTAAGTTATCGAAATGCTAATGAAGAAAAGTGACGTAAATTTCTGTTTAAAATCAGATTTGTTTCATTCACTTCTCAGAGTAATACTTATAACGGCTTTCGTCCAGGGGTTCAGCTGACACCATCCGAGGTCATCGACAATGTGGCATCCTGCTAGTCTAGAAGAGTGACACAGTTCTTCAGCAGTGCGCAACAGAACTTGCATCAAGTTTCTGACAGTAGCAGTAGGAGACCGATTCCATTTTGGAACCACACTGCTAGAGGAGACACTTCTGGTTCTCATAAATAGACTGACTCATCCAGAATGAAAATTGAAAATAAGCTGTTCGTTGAAACTTAAGGCTAACAGTATTTGAGCGTCTCAGTTAACAGCGCTTGCTATTGCTTTTACCAAGCGTATAAAAACCATAGAGGCGGAGGAATAATGGATGTAAATGTTAGGCAATTCATTATGTTGACCTAAAGGTGAAGAGTTCATTTAAACTCATTGCATTTGAGGTTATCCTTGACTTTTCAAATGGGGTTAGAAACTGATTTGAATGAGGCTCAGTACTAAACAGCTGAATGGATGAAGTTCTAGTAAAAATGATATAACTAGTACTTAAGCGATAAGATTAGTTGGGTTTACAAGCCCTACAATGAAATTAAATTGATGAAACTAGGGATTGTAAATAGTCGCGACGGCGCAAAGGTTAAGGTTGTGATCAATGGGATGAGAAACCTGAGAATCACGGAAAGACTATACCGATGATATAGAGATTCCAGCGGAATTAACTGCTAAATTCATAATACGGGGGTTAGAAACAGTGCGTTAACGGTGGTGATTGACAGTGATCATGAAGCATATGATTTTGACAGCGACGATCATTATGAAAAAGGGCTTGAGAAAAAAAGTCGCTGATTAGTAGTGCAATCTCAGCGGTGGAAACTTGAAATTAGGACAAGAATGAGAGTGATAATGATAATGAACATGGTGTAGCGAGTTAAGAGAAAAATTACTTTTTAATGCAATTATGACATTATCTTCGGATTTATCAAAGAAATTATTTTCGTTTCCCTTACCGCAAAATA